CCCTGGGGATGATGAAAAAGTTCTGGAACTGCAGAATGGTGAAGGCTGTATGACAGTGTTAATAGTTTTAATGCCATCGAATTATATACTTGAAAGTCACTTCACAGGCAAGTTTTGTATGTGTTTCTACCCAATAAAAGCAATTATTCGCCGGGCGGTGGTGGCGCACGCCTTTAATCCCAGCACTCGGGAGGCAGAGCCAGGCGGATCTCTGTGAGTTCGAGGCCAGCCTGGACTACCAAGTGAGTCCCAGGAAAGGCGCAAAGCTACACAGAGAAACCCTGTCTCGAAAAACCAAAAAAAAAAAAAAAAAAGCAATTATTCTTGGTTTCAAAGGCAGCCATGAAGTAATATATAGGAATATAAAGGAAATATAAATTTATAAAGTAAAAATATATTTATAATATCAAGTACAATATAAAAATTTATCCTATAAATATAATTTTATATTTATGAAAAATATAAATACAAAAATGTAAAATAATGTAAAGGAAACATGAGAGGGAAAGTAGATTGAACTTGCTTGGGATTGGGAGGGGGACTGGGGAGAAATCTGTACTCACTACAAATGATCCCAAGATTTCCTTTTCAAATGAAGGAAATGTTCTAAAGTTAGACTGTGTAGCAATGGTCACACAAGCACTATTTGTAAATATACTAAAACTAAATGATTCATCTTTTAAAAAAGATTTATTTATGTGCTTAACATATATGAGTGCTCTGTGTGCATGTTGCACACTAGAAGAGGCATCAGATCCCATTGTAGATGGTTGTGAGCCACCATGTGGTTGCTGGGAATTGAACCCAGCTCCTCTGGAAGAGCAGCCAGTACTCTTAACTGCTGAGCGGTCTCTCCAGCCACATGGTTCATCTTCTTAATATGAGTAAGTTTCATGATATGTAAATTCTTTGTCAAAAAGGTATTTGAAAAATTACTGGATAGGTGACTCTCTGACTGACTATGTATCAAGTTAGCTCAGTATTCACTACTGTACTTTGGAAAGCAGATGAAAATCTTACATACAGCTGAGCATGGTTATGCACGCCTTTAATGCCAGCACTCAAGAATCAAAGACAAGTAGATCTCTGTGAATTTGAGGTGAGCCTGGTCTCCATAGTGAGTTCTAGGACAGTCAGGGCTACACAGTAAGACTCCATCTCAAAAAAGAAAGAAAATAAAATCTTATGTAATACAGCTGTTAGCCAGTAAAGCTGACCAAAAAGCGGGTGGGGGAAGCACACTCATTAACCCTTCGTATTATTTATATGTTATAAACACAATTATTTTCTTATATATGACTATAGGCAAATGATTCAAGTTCAGCAGAAGATAAAAGATAGTGGTTGGAGCTATGGATGTAACTTAGTTGCTATAGCGCTTGCCCAACATGCACTTAAAAAAAGCCCAGGGTTCCATTTCCAGCACTATATAAACTAGGCCTACTAGTACTATAGTAGCCTATAATCTTAGCATTCAAGAGGTGGATGCAGGATCACAAGTTCAAGGCCATCCTCAACTACACAGTCAGTTCAAGGCCAGCCTGGGATAGGGGACACGGTCTCAAAAAACACCCCCAAAAGCTTCAAAGGCAGGTTACATCTCAGTTACAGCATTGTATAGAATAGCTTCATGTCTTCTTTGCCTAAGAGCACACATGTACTCTGTGAAAGACACAAATAAGATGCTTGAATACAAATTGCAGGTAGAACTATTTGTCTTTCCCAACAAAGCCAAATACCTTTTCTATTTGACATGATGTATGGGTAGGGCTTTTGTTTTTACTCTCTTTGTTTAAATACTTCAATAAAACCCCCACAGACACAGAATCAAGTATGATGGTAGTTACAAGCTCTACCTCATAAAACATCATCATATTTGTATTATGAGAATAGATCTTCCCTTCGAAATAAACCTCTCAATTTATCAAGGCTCAAAGTAAAAAACAGGAAAGGTTTAAAGTAATTTCATATGTAAGGTGGTGACGCGAGCAGGTCTCAAAGCTGAACAGGAAACCAGAGCTGCTTCCGTGGTTCATGTAAGAGGGGGTAAGTCGAAACTCACTGGACCCACGTACCTTCGTGGCTACAGTGGACTCTCACTCAACTCCAGTCTTCTCAGGTCTCTAGCTTAAAAGGAGAAGCTGGCTGGATTGCACAAATTTTCTGTTAAAACTAGTTAATTAATTAATGAGGTGCCAGGGGTACAATCCAGGACTTCACACACTCTAGGCAAGGGCTGTCTCACTGGTCTATATCTCTAGTTTCAGTATTTTACTTTTTAAATGCTGAGAATTATTCTAAATGTTCAACAATATAGAGGAGTGGTTTGGCTCTTGGGGTAATGGTCTGCAAATATACACTAAAGGATCTTTTTAGACAGGGTCTCATGTAGCCCAGCCTGGCCTCAAATGCACTATGTAGCCAAGGATAGCCTTCAACCTCACTCCTACTGTTTTCACCTCAAGTGCTGGGATTAAACATGTGTTAGCAGGCCTGGTTTATGTGGTCCTGGGGATTGAACTTCGGGCTTTGTGCATGCGCAGTAAGCACTCTACTTTATCCCCAGCCTGAATTGTCATTTCTGAAGATTTATTATTTTATTTTTAAAAATGTGTGTGTATGTATGCCACGTTTGTGAGGGTGCCCATGGAGGCCAGAATAAAACTCCAGATCCCCTGGAACTGGAGTTACAAGCCTCCTGACATGGGTCTAAAACTTGAAATTGGGTCATCTGGAAAAGCAGTAAACTCTTTTAAACTCTGAACCATGTCTCAAGTCCCATAAGTGATCGTTTTTTAAATTGCAAGATGTGCGTGCGCGCGCACGTGCGCAGTATGCATGCATGTGGAGGTCAGAGACAGTATGTGGGAGTTGGTTCTCTCTTCTCCATGTGGGGCTGGAGATTGAACTCAGGTTATCAGGCTTGGCACCAATCACCTTTACTAGCTGAGCTATCCTGCTGGCTCCAGTATAAACTCTTAGTTAACCAAAGCAACAGCAGAAAGAAAGATATCAGAGAATCAGCATCATCTCAGCTTTCATTGAATAGTCTACTAGAAATACTCATAGCAGAAACACACGACTGGAAAAAAAATCTTTCAGACCCTCTGGTGCAGGTACTGAGATAGACAAAAGCATACATAAATCATGGAAGAAAAACATTCTTGGTAACATTAAAACCAAAAACCTTGTTTCTAAGTAATTGAGACTGGCTATATTTATATGATGGGAAATCCAAATCATGATTAATTCACACTGAAGCTTTAAAATAATGGGGTAGAAGTTATTGATTGTAACTTCTAAAAGACACAATTAAAAATTTTATGCTGTCAGCTTTGCTTTTTAAACTTACACAAAGCCAGTTGAAAATACTTGCTTTGACAAACACATTAAACTATTTAAAGCAAAGCTCCGATCTACTGGTGTTTTTAATAACCACCAGGGAATCAGTAAAGTGCTTAATTTTTCCATTTAAAAAGTCATAGGGGAGCTGGACTTGGTGACGCATGTCTATAATCCCAGTTGCTAAGGAGGCTAAGGCACAAAGACCAGGAGCTCAAGGCCTCCCTGGGCCACAGAGGGAGTTTAAGATCAGCCCTGGCCAGGTGTGTGGGAGTGTGACTATTTAATCTCAGCACTCAGGAGGCAAAGGCAGATGCAGACAGATCTACATAGTGAGTTCCAGGGTAGCCAGGACTACACAGTGAGACCCTGTCTCAAAAAAATCAGCCTTGGTAACTTAATGGGACCCTGTCTCAAAATAAAAACAAGGGTTGGAGCTATGACTTGGTGGTAGAGCACCTGCCTACCATGCACAGAGCTCTAGGTTAAGGAAAAAAAAGTCATAAAGCAGACAACATTTTATTATCTGTCTTTTTGAAGTAATCATTAAAGAGCTTAAGAGAAAATGCAAGATAAAATGAATTTCTTGAGAATATTTTCAACTTATGATGCTATATCTGATTTAGTTGACCAATTATTATTTACAAGTTTAAACAAAACATCAGTAGGTACTAGGCAAAGAACTTTAGGTAAAATAGGTGTTTGGATTTAATAACAATTTAATTTGTGTGTGTGTGTGTGTGTGTGTGTGTGTGTGTGTGTGTGTGTACACATGCATGTGGTGAGTATGTAAAGGCATGTGCCTGTGTGAGCTTGTGGAGGTCAAAGGAGGATGTCCTGTTTTACCTCCTCCTAGTTCCTTGAGACAGAATCTCTTGTTGAACCTGGAGGGAAGCTGACGGCCAGCAAGACCCAGTGAGCCTTCTGTCTCCACCCACTCCTGGCTTTTGGATTTAAACTCAGGTCCTCACACTTGCACACAAAGTGCTCTTACCCATCTCTCTAGGCCCTGTAATTACATTTTTATTTCCATTTCTGGGAACTGAACTTAGGGCCTCACATGGGCTGGACAAGCATTCTACCACTGAGCTATATTCCTAGCCCATTAATCAGATTTTTCAAAGATGTCTTCCCACTGAGGAAAACAGTCCTGAAATAAAAATATAATTTTAAAGAAGACAAAATTAAGGCAGTGTCCTAAATTCATGACACAACTAAAAAGGTTATTTTGGAAAGTTACTGTGACATGTTCAAAGCTAAGGGCTTTCTCCACCTTTGAGGATTGCTGGTTCTTTTGATGGGCTTCAGAGAGCCAAAGATGCTCTCCTGGTATACCAGTAGCTCAGAACTCTTTAAGTCATCCTTTCGGGTTTTCTTTTTTAAAAAAGCAATCCATATATATTTACTTGAGTACATTCAATTACACTGCATTTATTTCAAGTGGTGGAACCTCATATTAAGTGATAAAGTATTGATAAAGGCTTGAACAAGTGGCTCACTCTCTCTTCCCAGAGTTTCTTCAGCTTTAAAATAAGGACAGCATTGTTATGGGAATTACATAAATCATGTAAAGTAAATTGAAACAGTTCTAACACATAATAAATATCCAATAAACGGCAGCTCTTTTTATTGTTATACAATAGCCTGGTTATACTCACTCTTTTGTTGAGACAAATAACAGGCCACAGGCTGCACCCCAGGGTACAGCAGCAGCAGAGACATCCACACAGCAGCCATTTCACATTGACTGGGAGAGCCTTTTTCAGACATGAGTTCACACGGCCAATGCTGGTCTTAAATTCTTCTGGAGCCACCTAAAACAGGGGGACTAACTTTATGAGTTTGTGGACAGATTCCCACTACCCCCAATCCTAAGGAAAATGTCTTATCAGAAACATTTCAATGTCTCAATATATTCTCTCCATAAATCTGTATCATATACTCGCTGAAGACATAATTGAGTGAAGCAATATGATTTCATGGTTGTAGAACTTCATGTCATACCCACAATGCTCTGAAATGACCAACAATCAACTAAAAGCAACCCAACTGATAGCAAGGGAAACCCATCAATCAAGCACTTTTGTTAGCAGACATTCTTGTTAAGGCAATGGTACTCACCGTCTTCAGGCACCCCGACTGAAAGCTGAGTTATGGTTAGAAGCATAAGACAAAAAGAAAAACCAAACTACTAACCAGAGGAGATGGAATTAAAAATAGTCTTTGATAATAATCCCGAGTTACTCTGAAAAAAAAATAAACTCTTAACACCTTTTCATTCTGGCAAATCTGCAATAAAATAGTTAAACTCACTGCTAATTGCAGGGAAATACATTAACAAGAGATAATATCTGGCAATTATGTTTAAAGCAGTCTGTTGGTATTCAGCACATATCCGATTCCTAAGCACTCTGAGTTTTGAAGGCTGAAGAGTCTTTACACAAATTCAGTATTTCTAGTTACTACCTCCGTTCCTGCAAGCAGTTGCTTCTCAATAAACAATGACAGAGTCGATTCAAAGGCACGAGCACGACCCATGGAGTTAAGATTTATATCAAAAATTCCCCTTGTAAATTACATGATTCGAAGGTACACTAAAAATAGTCTGCTTTCAGTGAAATCATGTTTCTGCATTACTCAGAAAGTTGGCAAACAGTAAATTCAAGGGGAAAAGTTCAGCCTTTGTTGTGAAAACAAAACTTAGGATGTTGGTAGAAAAATAAGTTGCTGTAAAATGAAAGCCCCATGACAATGACATCACAAACCTAAAAGCTTCACTCTTCCACATAAAAGGCTGTACTAGAGGAGTTGCTTTGTCATGTTTTTTTTTTAATATTTTAGCAAAGATGTCTTGGAATCCACACAAATAGACATATTAATGGATGCTATAAAGATCCAACTCAGCACCATCACAATGAAAACATTAAGTGGACACGCTCTAGTAGAACTGTTTGTGTCACCCATAAGTCAATCACTCAGTTCATGAAATGGTTATGTTTGCTAACAATGACCAGTTTTGAGACTGTAGAGCTTAAAACTTTGTTTACATGGGGAAAATGGACTTCATTCTCCATCTACACGGTTAAAAATGTAACACAGTGACAGCTATTGTGTACCGAGAGTTCTACTGAACTGACATTTCTGTGGGTAAATAGAAAAGTCATCCACAGACGTATGCTTTATAATTGAAATCAGAAAACATTAATAAGCCAAATCAGGAGACTTGGCTTCTAGTTGTTGCCATGTCTGAGAAAATTGCAGGTAAAATCATTTAATTTTTCTGAATCCTGGTTCCTCATATAAAAGGTGAAATGATAGTCTTTTTATATTTTTTAATTTATTCATGTATTTTATGAGTGCTCTATCTGCATGTACACCTTTATGCTAGAAGAGGGTATCAGATCCCATTATAGATGGTTGGGAGCCACCATGTGGGTGCTGGGAATTGAACCTGTGTCCTCTAGAAGAGCAGCCAGTGCTCTTAACCGCTGAGCCATCTTTCGAACCCTGATAGTCTTTGTTTTATATAGTCACCGGAAATGAAGGCCCCAGCTTAGAAAGGATTTCTTGGTTGGAATACTTTGAAAAAGAAAGTCTGTAAATCACATGTCAGATGTAGAGAAAGAAAAGCTGTTGCCTGATTTCTCTGAAGGCAAAGGGATTGATCAGAAGGGCATGGAAAGACCACAGTTTTCTTACACATTCGATTATAAATAAAAGGATAATCTGCTACACTCTGAAGGAAACTTCAATGCTTTTCAGCTTTTGATTTTCTCAGAGCTACTCCCCCTGCTCCGCTTCTTTCCTCTCCCTTCTTCTCAGAAGCAGGGACGGAACCCGGGGGCTAGCCCCCACTAAGCAGATGCTCTTCCACTTGCTCCGCCTGTAGTGCTTTGATGTTCTTTTAAAAAACAAGGTGCCTAGCCACTATCTAAAGATTTATCTGTCCCAACCAGCAATATTTAACTTCCTTCTCATGGCAGGGAATCACTGAGTAACCAAGTAACAGTTACAGAAAGAAAACAGTTCAAAAAATAGTTATCATCTTCACCTTCTACCTGAGCTAAGGGACAACACAGAGCTCTGGGAGGGGCCAGAGTCCTTCCTTCCCTCAGGCATTTATTTTTACTCTCTCATAACTGTGTAACATGGGTTCCTCCTGTGAGGAAACTTTTGAGAACAAATGAGGTACAGCTATAAAGCTACTTAGCACAATACCTAACGTACATCAGACACTCAGCAAATGGAGCTACTGTCCGTATTTCAGGGTGAGATTACAGGCAAAAGAAGAGTCTTAATTTATGTTCTTTAAGCACTTAAACACTATTGGCCTGACAATGTGTATATTTTCTGAAAAACACGACCCTTTACCTCACTGCCTAGGAGTGCTTAGAGAACGGCTTTTCCCTACTATCTTATTCCTCCCCGCCTCAAAAAAACTTCACTGGGTATAAATAACTGTAGTCACTCTATGATGTAGGCAATTTTTTTAAAAGAATGAAATTACTTTCATATTATAACAATAAATTTTTAAAAATCCCAAAATGTTTTCCATCTCAGCTGATGATAATTTCATTTCAGAATGGTTTTTCAGTGAAGGCTCACTCAGTTTGTCGCCCTAAGGTTGTTCCCAAACAGGCCAGCGACCTTTCTTTTTTTTAATTTATTTTATTTTATTTTACTTTACAATATAATTTAATTCTACATATCAACCACGGATTCCTTTGTTCTCCCTGCTCCCGCCCCCAAAATGTGTAGCCCAGGCTGGCCTTGAACTCGTGATCCTCCTGCCTCCACCTCCTTCAGCAAATCCTACCGGTGAGCGCCACCACAAGCGGCCCAGCGACCTTTCTTGTCCTCAGTGACTCACCTCTGTGTGCTGGCAGCATGGAAGCACATCCCAGTTGTCCGGATAAGTGCATCTCTGGTGTCCTCATCATTTTCTAACCCTGACTTCCAGCTCTTACTGTAAAGTACCACTTTGCAGTACGAGGAGACGTTCTACAGTGTTGCCATCTTTTAAAGCTTTGCTTATTTTGAAAATATTGGCTAAATTTTTTCATTTATTTATTCGTTTATTTATTTATTTACTCTATCTATCTATCTATCTATCTATCTACCATCTATCTATTTATCTGTCTGTCTGTCTGTCTCTCTATCTATCTAACTATATAGGACAACCTGCAGGAGTCTGTTACATCCACTGTGTGGCTCTCCGGATCTAACTCAGGTTGTCTGGCTTGGTGGCAAGCACCTTTTACCCACTGAGCCACCTTGCCAGCTTTGAAAATACTTAAAAAAGAGTTTGTAATTATGATTTGAACTTTCATTTAAAAACAAGTATGCAAATACAGATGAGAAAATTAAATGTAAAGAGTTACACCAGAGATAGAAATGAATCTGTCCAGCCAGGGGTTGGGGGTGGGGTGGAGTGGGGGTGGTGCACTCCTTTAATCCCAGTGCTCAGGAGGCAGAGGCAGGTGGATCTCTGAGCTCCAGGCCAGGCTGGTCTACAGAGTGAGTTTAGGACAGCCAGGGCTACACAGAGAAACCCTGTCTCGAAAAACAAAAACAAACACACAAAAAAGAAATGTCCAAAAGAACAAAACAGTGTCCACGGAATCTTAGAAAAGAAGTTTCTGTCTAGCAGGGAAGAACAGTGGTAGAAAGTTGAGGAGGGAAAGCTGGCTTTCAAGGTGAGGCATGGCGATGAAATCAATTACACGCCACGGTATGCAGTTTGTTAGGAAACTGTCCTTCATTACCTGTTTCTGAAAATGAAACAACACTCCTCAAATTTGGCAATTTTCCTTCTCCAAAACCCTCTACTTTTAACAGATACGCTCTTACTATAGACAGATTAAAACTCAAATGTTCAAGTTACTAAAAATGAGAGATCAAATTTTGGGTCGTAAGCCAAATCTACTGAAAAGAAAAACTTGCACTAGAATCTCAAGCAACAAACTACAGTCTGCATTTTGACTTTAAAAAGATGCCACAATTGGCTTCTGCGGAAAAAACCCTGTATTCGAGTAACAGTACAAGTCATAAAGCAGAGACGGGGAATGAGAACTGACTAGCTCCCAGCTTTAAACAGGGAGAAGAAGTGTTTAGTTAAGTGCAGATTCCGAGTTAGTGCCATTTGACTCATTCGCTTGTATACAAGCGAGGATTTCCAGTATTGAATGTCGGCTGGGAGCCTCTGACTTCCTAAGCGGACAGTAGGCTGTAAAGAAACACGTCATTCCTTTTGACTCTCTTGGAAAGAGAAAAGAAAACAGCATCATGAAGGTGGGGGAAAGGGCCATAATATTTTATAACAGGATGCAGGGGCCTGAGGAGAAAATCGGAGCAAAGCCCAGCAGGACTGATGTGCCTCTCTCATTGTGAGGAACACAAGCATAGCAATCACTTGTCATATTGGGTCACAATAGAAGAGGGCAATTTTTATGGCTCACCATTCCCAACACTACACAGTGTGCTCCCCATAACGCTTTTGACTTCCTTCAAGCTAAGGGCCGGAAGCTCTCACTTCTTTTTTAGAATGTATGTGGCTGTTTCCCTTTCTGGTCACCAGAGTATCTGTGTGTATATACATACATACCTACATGATTTGTCCTATCATGTCAGGAGAACTTACCTTTAGTGAAACAGGGGAAAGAATCCCTTCTGCACTTACAAAAATTGACACAAAAGAAGCAAAAAGTTAACATGGAGTTGTGGAACTTACAAAATGGCCTTTTAGATTTTCCTAATTTGCTGCAATTTTGTTCACTCAAGTCAGCTACTGAGAATATCTGACTCATGCCAAAAGACTGAGTTTTATGAAGGGCAATTCTTTTCTGTTAGGTATTACACTTATCCATTTTAAGACAGTTTATAAGGAGTATTAAGTTGGGAATTAAGACCTTTTTACTTTATTTATATAAGGCCTCCCCCTGGTTATTAGAGAAATGGTTTAATAATCCACACTAATCTATACAAGTGAAATAGTACCTACTGGAGAAAAAAAAATCTCATTAAGGAAATAAAACTTGTATTAATTCATTAACATGGAACTTTAAAAATCAGACCTCCAGGAACTAGAGCTGAAGCTCAGTGGTAGAGCGCATGCTTAGTGTGAGCAAGGCCCTGGGCTTAATCCACAGCAACAAAACAAACAAACATCAGACTTTCAGAATTACTTCTAGTGTTTTTCTCATTGTCAAACACACATTAAGAAAACATTGCGCTATCATTTTTGCATTACCCAAAGTATACCTATGTACACATGAGAAAATTTGAACATACAGCCACACATCAGTATGATGTGTACTATAAAAATAGTCACCTAAAAAGAATAGATGTTTTAGCCAGGCATGGTGACTCATGCTTGTTGTAACCATAACAATTAGAGAGCTGAGGCAGGAGGATTGCCACAAGTTTGAGATCAGTTTGGGTTACAAAATGAGTTCCAGGCAGCTTGGAATACATAACAAAACCCTGTTTCTAAAAAACAAAAAGACAGATTGGGAAAAAAAAGAAGAATGGATGTTTTCAAGAACAGCTTCCATCCAGATTATCTAGGTTGTATGAATGGATACCAAAAGCAGCTTACTATTGTTTTTTTTTTTTTTTTTTTTTTTTTTTTTTCCCCGAGACAGGGTTTCTCTGTTTAGTTTTGGTGCCTGTTCTGGAACTCACTTTGGAGACCAGGCTGGCCTTGAACTCACAGAGATCCACCTGCCTCTGCTTCCCAAGTGCTGGGATCAAAGGCATGCACTGCCGCCGCCGCCACCGCCGCAGCCCAGCATGCAGCTTTTCATTCTTACAATTCCGATTTAAAAAATCCTAGTATCTTATGGGTTAATGGAATTTTTAGTTCCAGAAGTTTGGAAATGAATGAAGAGGTGTGAAAAGATATTCCAAAGATTACTTCAGCACACAAAACTGACTAATTTAAAAAAATGGATAATGCTTATGCCTGGGAGCTTTATTTACTGACAGTTTTCTAGAAATTTCTAGGCCCCTAATTTTTTTTTGTTTTGTTTTTTTGTTTTTGTTTTTCGAGACAGGATTTCTCTGTGTCATTTTGGTGCCTGTCCTGGATCTCACTCTGTAGACAAGGCTGGCCTTGAACTCACAGAGATCCGTCTGGCTCTGCCTCCCAAGTGATGGGATTAAAGGTGTGCACCACCACCGCCCAGCCAGAAATTTCTAGGTCCCTAATTTTAAACATGTAAAAAAATTAAGCTAGTATTAAAGCTGGATGTAATTTCCCAGACAATACATGCAGTAGCATTAAGGGAAACGTAAAGAAATCTTCTATTGGAGATGTTTTGATTTACATTTTTCTTTAATTTTTAGTATTAAAGCTACCATGTTCTTACCAATACGTTATTATTCAGGAGATATTTCCATGTTCAATTTTACACATTTGGAGAAAATGTTTATAAAACACATCAGAGTTTAAGCTGCTGCTGCACTTGATGAAGTATTCTGAATGATTAGGAGAGGGAGGTAGAGCATACTAGAGACCAAAGCCAAACATTTACACTGAAGTGATTTTCTCTCTCCCTCCCTCCCTCCCTCCCTCCCCTTCTTCTTCCTCCTCCTCCTCCTCCTTCTCTCTCTTCTCTCTCTCATTGTGTGTGTGTTTGTGTGTGTGTGTGTGTGTGTGTGTGTGTGTGTGTGTGTGTGTGTGTGTGTACACGTACTTGCCTGGGCAAGTGTAGATGCCAGAGATTGACTTCAGGTGTCTTCAAAGCTCTCTTGCTCTCTACCTTATTTTTGTGAGAAGACAGGATCTCCCAGTGAACCTGGGTCATCATTTCTGCTAAACTAATTGGCCAGAGAGTGTTCCCCAGGATCTGTCTGTTTTTGCTATCAGCACTGGGGTTACAAATGCCAATCATTGTACCTGACTTTTATATGGGTGCTGGGGATCTGAACTCAGGTTCTCATGCTTGCAGAACAAGCACCTTTTGCCCACTGAGCCATCTCCCCAAATTGAAAGTTAGCATTTCTGTAAGAGAATTTTTCCAAATACAGTAATTTAAAAAAGGCAATATTTCAGCCAGGCGGTGGTGGCACATGCCTTTAATCCTAGCACTAGGGAGGCAGAGGCAGGCAGGTCTCTGTGAATTCGAGGCCAGCCTGGTCTACAGAGCGAGTTCCAGGATAGCCAAGGCTATTACACAGAGAAACCCTGTCTTGAAAAACAAAAAACATAAAAAAGGGCAATATTTCAAGTGTACAATATGCTGGTAGGTTTTTTTGTTGTTGTTGGTGGTGGTGTTTATTCTTTTTTTTCTTTTTTTTGAGACAAGTTCTAACTATGTAACCCAGGCTAGCCTGGAACTCATGACTCTTGAAATCTAGTGCTGGGTTTACAGATCTGTGCCACCACAGCAGCTCAACATGACATTTTCATATACATATACATAGTGAAATAATTACTACAGTCAAGCAAGTTAACTTACCTCCTTACATAGTTATTTATCATTTCTTTTAGAAAATCTGAAATTTGTTCGTTTGGTGAATTTTCAGTATATAATACAATATTATTTATAATCATCATGCTGTACTTAATCCATACTTATAGGTTTGAATCCTGGGAAGTCTGAATTTTGAACAAGAATGCTTGTCTATACAATTGAATATAGAAAAACTTGCAAATAGAAAGGTAGTTATTTATTGCTGTGAGTCCAATTCTAGAAATGCAGTCTAAAAGGAAGAAAAACATCTAACCAAAAATGTGATGCTTTTTATTTGTAATAAATGATGCATGCCACATAACACTTTAAAAATCATAGTGACTCAGTTACAAAGATAACTCTGGCAATGAAATATTGAAAATTATAGATCTAAATGAAAACAATTACAGCTACCTGTGCTAGGCAAAAAAGGCGACACTGGAAAAGCTGGGCAGGTAAATAAACAATGGCTGACATTAAGAAACACAGACAAAATAGCTGGCCAGAGGCTCGTAGTCATGGTAACACTGTTTAGTCACTGCGAACACAGCTTCCAAGTAGGGAGGCCTCCTGTTATTTGGCTTCATTACCAGTGAGTCAAAGCATTTGTCATAACATTGAATAAACCATAACACAGTGCATTAGAATTGGAAAATTCAAAGCAAACTCACTTACCTTCCCTGTCAGAACCGAGGGAAACTCCGTATCAAACTTGTTGCTTAATCCAAACCTTAAAAACAAAGACAGAACAAAATCTATTGTGTTCAGCATATTTAACCCTTTCTCCCAATAGGTTATAAACCCATGCGGTTTTCTTTGATCTTCAGATTTAAAAACATGTCCAGAATATGCACAACTTTATGATGTATATACTAGTTGAAGCCAAGTAATGGATTTTTAAAATCCATATGTAAGTCCTAAAAATAACACTAAATTGAAAAGCTATGTTCGAAATAAAACTTGACACACTTAAAAAAATAAATTTTTGACTATTTGTCCATATTAGCAGTTAAAGAAATCTAAGGAAAGGAATTCAAAATTGTTGCTGTATTGGGTTCGTGTTTGTTTTTGAGAAAGAACTTAAAGTTGGGTGGGTAAGGAGAGGGAGAGGATCTGGAAAGCCTTGAGGGAGAGAAAGAATATGATCAGAATATATTTAAAGTTAAAAAATTGTTTAAAGTAATAAAAAATAAAAGTGGAATTCTAACTATATCCATGAGACTAAAAATAGCCAGCAGTCATAATTTTAAGTTTTTATTTACGTTTTAATTTTGTGTGTGTGTGTGTGTGTGTGTGTGTGTGTGTTACTCTTGGAGGCCAGAAAAAGAGTATTGGATCCCCTGGAACTGACTGGAGTTACAGGTGGCTGTGAGCTGTCATGTGGGTGCTGGGAATCAAACCCAGGTCCTCTGGAAGAGCACTACATGCTCTTAACTGCTGAACCACCTCTCCAGCACCCACCAAGTTATAGTTTTTGACTATAATGTTTCTCTGTTAAAATCCATTTTAGTAGATAATTGTTAGAATTGGATGATAGATGATATGTGAGAATAAATTATGCTATTCTTCGTACTTTTGCCTATGTGTACAATTTTTTTTTTAAAAAGTATTCTTTTCCATTGGGAGGTGGTGGTGCACACCTTTAACCAGCCCTCAGGAGGCAGAGGCAGGAGGATCTCTGTGAGTTCCAGGCCAGCCTGGTCTACAGAGTGAGTTCCAGGATAGTCAGGACTACACAGAGAAATTCTGTCTCGAAAAACATTAAGAAAGTATTCTTTTCCCATTAATGTAGACTTTGGAACTATAATTTGATAACTTGTGACCAGTTACTCTTCAGACAATTAAAGGATCTTTTTAAATGCCTTTCATTTGCTCAACCATTTTGAGAAAAAGAGATACTCAGCTCTAAAGTTTTCTCTTCCAGTCTGCTCACTACAGTATGTAATAAAGTCAAAAGGAACTTTCTAGGCCTTGGCTCATCTGCTTGTTGAACTGAGTAGGGATAACTTAGGTTACTTTTGGAATGTCAGACAATTCCATATTAGAATAACTAACAATTTTATGTCAGTGGATGATAGGTAAGCAAAAAGAAAAATAGACTAGTGTTGAGAACTCCATGAAACAAACGCAGTACCAGGTACCACATGCCAATAACTATGCACTGACCAGGCTAGACACTGTGCTAAGAAAGAACATTACTGCAAAGTCTTAAAGGCTGCCAAGAGAAGGATTGTCAGTCCCATTTTTTGGACAGGGAAGCTGACATTCATTCATGGTGGCACATGCCTTTAATCCTAGCATTAAAAAACATTTAAAAAAATCAGTTAATTACATGATTTGCCTCAAGTCAGCTCCTATCTAGTTAAGAAGTGTTAAGAACTAAAAATTAATAATAGTTACTAATTTTCTTTTTTAATGAGTAAAAATGAATCTTCTAAAATATAAAAAGTATATTAAAATGGTAAAGGAAGTATATTTTTACTTCTTAAAAATCTCCTTTATGAGCAACATATAGATATCAGTGTCTGTGGGAGATCAGTTCTGAGCCCCACCTTGGACATCGAAATCCTTGGACACTTAAGTCCCTTATATCAATTTTTTATTAAAATTTTTTATGCTTATTTGATTTCATTATGCATAGATTTTGCCTGCATGTATGTATGTGTACCATGTGCATGCCTGGTGCCCTTGGAGGTCAGAAAAGTGTGTCAGATCTCCTGGAACTAGAGTTACTAAAGGTTATGAGTGTCCACATGAGTACTGGAGGCTGAAACTGAGTCCTCTGTAAGAGCAACAAGTGCTGTAAACTGCTGAGCCAGCTCTGCAGCCCCAACCTCCTCATAGTAAAATGGAGTAGTAGTTGCACATAACCCATGTACATCTTCTTGCATTCTTTAAATCATCCTAGTAACAGCTAATACAACTATTACGCAAATGGTTGCTACACTATATTGTTTACAGAATAAGAGAATTTCCATGCATGTTCAACGTAGATGGTATTTTTTTCATATATTTTTGAACTGCAAGTGGTTGGATTAATGCCAAACCTGTGAATATAGAGGGTCAACTGTTTATCTATACCATAAAATATAAAGAAGCAGGTATAGTGGCACATGCCTGTAATCCCAGGATGAGGCAGGAGGATAGTGAGTTCAAGGCCAATTCATCTCAAAAATCAAACAAAGCATAATGGAAAGCAAACCAGACTCACTACTCTCATAATTTTGGCTATCCTGTTCTCACCTACTAGGGATTTCTTTTTTTTCTTTTTCTTTTTCTTTGGTTTTTTTTAAGACAGGGTTTCTCTGTGTAGTTTTGGTGTCTGTCCTGGTTCTCACTCTATAGATCAGGCTGGCCTCGAACTCAGAGATCCGCCTGGCTCTGCCTCCCGAGTGCTGGGATTAAAGGTGTGTGCCAGTACGGCACGGCCCTACTAGGGATTTCTTTCCTAAATATTTTCTTTCTTTAACACTGAGGATATAAAAAGAGTGCTTACTTCAAAAAAACCTTAATTCTGAGGGTTTTGCTTAGTAGCTACAAATATATGGCTGCTGCTGAATAAACAACTTATCTCTGTTTCATAAGCAAACTATGAAGTTAGAACAGTGGCTCAGTTAGGCGGTGGTGGCCCATGCCTTTAATCCCAGCACTTGGGAATCAGAGGCAGGTGGATCTCTGTGAGTTCGAGGCCAGCCTGGGCTACAGAGTGAGTTCCAGGACAGCCAGGGCTACACAGAGAAACCCTGTCTTGGAAAAAAAAATAAAAAAGGAACCATGGTTCTACAGAGGTTACACAAATGCATCTATTCATTACTCATCAGTGATAGGCATTAGCCAAGCTGTGGCACTCTTCAGCATTAGACAAAGAGGCACTTGGGAACTACTCATAAGCCATTTTATTGACTTTATTAAATATAGCGTCTATTATGTGTTTGAAGTTGACCAAGCTGGTGGTTGTCAATGATTGAATTTTCTTTAAGTGTTTTCAATGCCCCTACATTTTAATTTCTTGGAACAATTCTTTGGATTATAGGAAATGGAGGAAAGAAGGATGGAGCCTTTTCCTTGTTTTTCCCTGCCTCCCTATACTCCTTGCTTTCCATGCTTGTAAAAATGACTATTTTTCAATCACTTAAAACCTTGCATAAATGAAAGTTCATGTGCTCAGGTTAAGAATCAGTGCAGTCAAATTCTGCTAACAAGAACCACTATTTTGCTAGAAAACTATGTACTTAATACTATAATACTGATTCTGAATTACACGTAGTGAACTCTACTGTACTAAGAAAAAGGAAAATAATGCCATATAATATAAACAGAGTTTTTTTTTTTTATCCCACTTAGATCTTTCTTCTGGAAATAACCATGTCTTACCAGACTACATGATAGTTTAAAGCTTTGTAAAATAGTCACCTGATGGTTTTCAATGCTGGGGAATGAACCCAGGGCCTTGCTCATACTAGTCAAGCCCTCTCTCTGAGCCCATTAATTCAGACTGTAATTTCTCAATGACAGGTAACAGAAAAGGTATGCCATTCTCCAATTTGAGAAGTGTCTGTAAATTTGTGTAGAAATGTATTGTTTATAAATTTAACTATCAGTTTTGATTCTATATCTAATAATTTTAGTGAGACTCCCTGAAAACTGGTAATTCAGCAATCATCTCAACTACCTTCTATATAGGTACTCTAGCAAGTGCAGACATCCACACATTTTAAGTAATAGGAGTGTGTTTATGTTTATAAACACAAGGGTGGGGGAAGTCTCATCAAATGTATTTGTTTTCTGGATTTCAATACGCTGTGCCCTAATATTTATCCTAAAAAAGAAGAAAAGTATAACTCAAATATACAGCATTTTTGAAATACTTTATACTTGCTAGTGACATTCATTGCTTTGTTTCTACAGTTTTAAACCTGTGAGAGTTAATTTAGTAATACTTTTTTTTTTGAGACAAGGTCTCACTATGCAGACTAGGCTGGCCTCTAATTCACATGGATCCACTTGCCTTTGCCTCTCAGTGCTGGGATTAAAGGTGTGCGCCATGCACTCCTGGCTTCACTCTGTTTCTTATGATATTAAAATTAATTTAATGTTAAAATTCATATTTTGTTAAAATGACTAGAAGGCCAAAATTATTAAGATGATACAAGTAAACTGGAGTACTCTTACACACAGGAGCTAGCTTAACAAAGCTTTATTGAGAAACGGAGATACCATCAGTTGGAGAGTGGTGATACCTCATCACTAGGATTATGATATTATTACAGCTATATATACATATATCTAAGCTCAGAATAAAGCCCTCTTCATAGCATGATTGAACAAATTCACATTTGTTGAGGGCCTGTAGTATAGTTTGCACAACAATGGACATAGACTATCACTAAAATGAACCAATATTCATTGAACTTACTTAAACAAGTATTATGGTAGGCACTGAAGATTCAGAGGGAATGAGAGATTGTTCTTGCTGTTATAGCTTACAATTTAGCAAGGGCAAAGAAGACTTATAGGAAATGGTGACATTTGGAAAGCTAGGGTGAAAGGAGGTATGTACTGGCATTTAAGATGGAAGCAGTAGCTATTGGAAATAGCATGCTGTGATGAGTAACAGGAGGTACACTCAACTGAGATGGACAATAGAGAATGATGAGGCATATTTGAGGGTTAAGTAGCCCAGGGAAGAGCCTGAGCAGAGTCTGGTACACAGACACACACACACACACACACACACACACACACACACACACACACACACACACAGAAACTCTGAATAACTGAGACCACAAGAAGCAAGAAGAAACCATATAAGATGTGTAGATAATAAGAGTAGAGGGCTAAGCATAAAATTCTGGAGATCAGTGGTATTTAAGAAGCAAGATAGGAAGAAGACTGTTAATGAAAAATCATGCCAGGCAAGTACTCTGTTACAAAACTGTACTCCCAGTCTCTGATCATGGTGATCTCAACTGAGGCCAGATTCTTCACAGTTAAGGTGGCAGAATTCAGATCAGAGGAGGTAAATACGGTGCATGGATGTACTTTTAAGGAATTTGGAGAAGGGAGATTAGATAGCAGCTAAAGGGGATTTGGCTATCAGAAGGTTTGGGGACTGAATATATTTACAGGGCAATTTAGACTGTAGATTCTAGAGAGAGTCAAAGTGAGGCACCATTGGAGCCTGGGGCTGCCTTATGGTACAAGACCTTGCTTGGGCAGAGGCTAGAAGGCTATGGAAGGCAGAAGAGACGAGATGAGTTCTGGGGAAGGAGAGGGACTCCTTGAGTTCTGATGTTGGGTGCACTAAGCAACAGGACAGTGCCATGGTTAACTGGAATTGGAAGAAAATGAGTTTGGCACAAACATGCACAATGACATGAGGAGAGAAGCAGACTGTGGCTATAATTCAAGAAGGATGGCAACTCAACAAGAGTGCTGCCAGACAGGAATAGAGAAAATGAAAAGTCTAAGCCAATTTCCAAATGTATGATGACATAATGCTGGGAAATTCGGACATAGGGCAATTCAAGGAGAAGAGTCAAAATGGCTCAAAGATTTCAAATACTACTCTGGGGGAGTAGAATGTTGGGTTAACCACCAGAAATGTGGCAACCAGAAATATAACCCATTAGGGGAAAATGTTGGGTTTAAGATAGACTGAGTTAGAATCAGGTTAAACTTATCTAATGCCTTGAATATGTATCTCTTACTCATGGTGAAAAGCTACAAAATATTCCCCCCTTAAAAAAATCCAGTGGATGGTGACAACTCTCAAATTTTAAACTTTGAATAGAAGCAAAATCTTCTACAGATGAAGACTGAACAGATAATAAAGTCAGGGTACAAGAGAGTAAGAAATAGTTCACTCAGCTGGGTGGTGGTGGCATGTGCCTTTACTTTAATCCCAGCACTTGGGAGGCAGAGGCAGGCAGATCTCTGTGAGTTTGAGGCCAGCCTGGTCTACAGAGTGAGTTCCAGGACAGCCAGAGCTGTTACACAGAGAAACTCTGTCTCGAAAACTAAAACTAAACAAAACAAAACAAGAAAAAAAAAGAAGAAAGGAAGGAAGGAAGAAAGAAGAAAGAAATAGTTCGCTCACATAGGTATAGGGCCAGGGTGTAGCTCGGTGACACAGCCCTTGCCTGGATGTACAATCCCCTAGTCTGAGTTGCATCACACCCCTGAAGCCCAATAAAATATAGTTTAGAGCAATCTACACATGCCTACACATCAGAAAACAATGAAACACAATTTGATATTTTAGATGTGTCAGATTAAGATTATTCTTACAGATTTTTACCTCACTTGACATATGGAAGGTTCTGTTATTATAGTTCATGTCTCAAATCCCAACAAAAATTTTTCTTAAAGATAGGGTCTCACTCTGTAGCCCAGGCTGGCCTAGCGATCATTATATGACCCACGTTGGCCTGGAACTCATTATGTAACCCAGGTTGGCCTTGAAGTCATGAAATTCTTCTTGTCTTAGTATCCCAGGTGATGGAATCACAGGCATAAAACACCATGCCTGGCTTCTAGCAGACCTTTTGAATAGTTAGTCTTTTTCTTAAAATGTTAGCTATTTAGCATCAGATGTTCTTCCTAAATAAGAAAATGTATACAACAAAACTAGACAATTTTTCAAACTATATTCATGTCTAGTGATTTAAGTACTGGCTTATACTTTTCAGACTTTTCTCCAATAAATACCCAGATACTACTAGCACTATCCCTTTACTTGTAATTCCAGAATTTTTAAACTGTGTGTGTGTTGGGGGTGTTGGCAGGGAATTATACTACAAGAGGCTAGACACAGCAAATCTCAGTGCTTTGTTTTAAATGAAGAAATGAAATTGGTTATGTGGTGAGTAGAATGGAGCCACGAGGGAGCTTTAGAGAACTTAAATTATGCTTCCTTGGTATGTATGCCTTGTTTGAATTGTAGAAAATAATGGGGGGAGTTGGATCATAAAATTATGGGTCGGAGTATAAAACACCATTTCTCTGTTTGGCCATGTAAAATAACCTGCAAGCAAAAAGAACCCTGGATACCAGAATCATAATTAGTTTGAATAATGGTCTTCCTAGTGAAGAAAGGAATGGAAGGAAAACAGTACAGTCACCTGAAGAGTGCAGGCTATCTGCAAAAATCCTGGACTGAGAAAAACTGTCTGAAAATTACCTAATCAAAAATCAGGCCTAAAAGTCTCCCCAAAGCCTCCCACCACAATTGAAAAAGTATGTGGTAATACAGTCATTCAATGATTCAAACGTATATTACAGTCAAAATAGTTACCATGTTAAAAATTAAAAGGTAATGATTGAGGAGTTAACACATACTGTATGATTTCATGCAAGCACTCAATTGAGTCGAAGGGACTAGGTGAGCCATGATCAAAATTAAAGATAGTGAGACATGATGAGAAGGAGCAAATCTATTTTGAAAACGCAGTGAAAGAGTCCATAGTTAAGAGTATGAACACAACACCATATTCAAAATTTTAAGTATTTACAATCCAAGCAAATAAAAATGGGGAAGCACTCTTCAAAGCCCAGAGATCATTTTTTTTCTTTTACGATATGAAGCCCTTGCACACTTTATTTTCTCAAATATGATACAGAATTTCAATTTAAAAGAAGCCACCCTGGATGAGTTTTAGAGAAATCACCCTCAATTTATCAAGGGCCAATTTCCCTATATATTTAATATTTGTATATTTAGTATCTGGGCATACAAAATACCCTGTAGGCATCTTAATTTATTTCAGAGCCAAAGGGCTTAGAAACCATGTACTCCAAAACCTTCATTTTGGAGATGGAGAACCCAAGGCCCGGAAGTAAGATTCAACTGACCAAGGTCATAGGGCCAGTAAGAAGGGAAACTGAGATAAGCAACCAAGATCTCTCACCCGCTATCCATTGCTCTTTCTACTTTGCATAGATTCCTATCAACACGAACCTCTAATGATGTGATATCAAAGGAACGTCAGAGTAGTGCGTTCAACAGAGAAAAGATGACGATATTCATTCATATAAGCATTGGATAGGAAGAATGGATGGATAAATATGTGGGTGGATGAATATTTATATTATTCACAAAATGCACCACATTTTTGTTTTGAAGAATCCAAGCCCAGATCTTGTCACATGTCACAGCAGTCTCGGTTTTCCACTAGCCATCAATCTTGGCAGCAGAGAAGCCTAGTACATCCTGCAGTTTAGAGACTATTCACTTGCCAGCACACGTACAAGAGGATCACCCATACTCTAGTGCCTCTAGCTGTCCACCCCGCAACTCCCTGTCCTACACTCACTCTTTTCTCGATGCATCATTCTCCCCATTTCTTTGACACTACACCTATTCAATCTGCGGTTTCTCTATTTAGACCAGGTGTCCTTTGCTAACAGTATGTCTTAGCCCTTCCCCACTCCGCAGGCCCTTCCATGCCCTTTCCCATTCCTCTGTCGCCAAATCTCAGCCTCTGCAAGACCCCGGCCCCAATCGCTTACACAGTGATGTGGCCGGCGCCGCGCACCAACACAGGGTCTGGGGCATATCTCCGCAGATGCTCCTCGCTCACTACCCGTGGCGGGGGCGGCACCTCCTCCTCCTCGTCTTCTTCTTCCTCCTCCTCCTCTTCTTCCTCCTCCTCATCTTCCTCCTCATCTTCCTCATCCTCATCAGGCCCAGATACCGACGAAGACGACGACGACGACGGCGACGAAGACGACGTTGCTGCTTCTTCTTCCTCCTCCTCCAGTTCCGAGATGGTGTCGAACTCCGCCATGTTGGGCAGCAGGATGCTCATCACGTGACCTCACGATCGCCGCCACTCTCCGGGAGAAGAGTTTGAACCTGCGGAGCTACTGAGAGAGGAGGGGGAATGGACTGAAGAGAAAGAGGAGGGGGTAGGGAAAGCACTTGAGGAGACGCGCCTGCGTATTGGGCAGACAGAGCGGGGGTTGGAGGCGGGGGCATGAGGGACCAGGGAGTAAATTCGGTGTACGCTTGCGCGGCTCCAAGGGGAGGGGGCCGGTAGAGGTGAACTCCAGGGAATTCTCGAGGTCCGGTCTGCGGGTGCTGATCTTCGTACTGCGCTTCGGACGTCAGCCTTGTACGCAAGGGACGTACGTTCTCGTTTTAGTGCCTGTTAATTAATGCGGGATATATTTACCTCTATGCAGGCAGTCGAGGGAAATCAAATTCTATAAAAGAGAGTTTAGGACTTTGCCCAAAATATCTCCAGGTACACATATGTCATTCCCTTACGCAGAGATTGTTCAATCCTGAGAGAAGGGTAAACATTTTTATTAACATTTTACAAAAGAGGAAACTTTCTATTAATTTCTCCTGCTGAATGGTACTTTGGGGACTTGTTAAGTGTCACAGACTGTGCTAAGTGCTCTGTGTGCGTATCTCATTTAATCTCCCCACAACCCTATGATGGCTGTACCATGTTGGTTCAAATATTACACAAGGGAAATCTAGATACAAAGAGAGCAAGTAATTTGCTCAAGGTCATGGAGCTAGTAAATGATAGACGAGCTTTTAAATCTGGATTCTTTTCCTACTCCCAAAGCCCTGTACTCTTAGCCAAACAGCTACAGTGCCTAAAGTTGCTTGGAAAGGCTGGGTGGAGTGGTGCATTTTGGTTGGTTCTTATGAATAAGAATATGCAGGTTTGCAAATGGGGGTTTGAAGCCAGGTGTAGTAGCTCATGCCTTTAAACTTAGCGCTTGCGAAGCAGAAGCAGGAGAATCTTTGAGTAAGGCTAGCCTGGTCTACAGAGCTGGTTCCAGGACAGCTAGGGTTACAGAGGGAAACCCTGTCTTGAAAAAGAAAGAAAGAAAAAAGAAGGAAAGGAAGGAAGGAAGGAAGGAAGGAAGGAAGGAAGGAAGGAAGGAAGGAAGGAAGGAAGGAAGGAAGGAAGGAAGGAGGAAGAAAGGAAGGAAGGAAAAGAAATTGGGGTTTTGAGGAGTGGAGCTGGAGAGTGTGTAGAGGGCATTACCAGTTTAGAGACATATTAATTAACATCACCTATTCTCTAGACTCCAAGCTAAATACCACATCTCAGTTAACTCAAACAATCTGGTGAGGCAGGCACCTTTATATGTCTTTTACAGATAAAGAATTGATGGACTGGAGAGATGGCTCAGCAGTTAAGAGCAGTGGCTGCTCTTCCAGAGGACCCGGGGTCAATTCTCAGCACCCACGTGGCAGCTCACAACTGTCTGTAACTCCAGTTCTGGGGATATGACACCCTCACACAGATATACATGTGGGCAAAACACCAAAGCACATAAAATAAAAATAAGGAAATTATTTTAAAACATGAAAAATTGAATGTCAGGAAATTGAAATAATCCTTATTCGGGTCTGTAGTGACCTTTCCCCCCCACTTCCCCCCATTTCAAACGTTCTTCTTCATCTTCTCTACACCACTGAAATACAGAGACCACATATTTCAAGTTTCTAGGTAAGGTACCAAACTGGTTCATACCTGGCAGCTCACAGAATTTGTGCCATTAAGACTGTAGAGTAGTGCAGCCACTCTGTAATAGAATGAATATGGTGGTCCAGGTACTCTATATTAATACCTGCTTCCCTATGCCTTCTGCTGCACTGGAGCTTTCGTTCTGATTAGATGGTGTGACTGGGAAAATGGACAGAGCCTGGGATTTAGAATGAGCCTTGCATCAGCAGCAGAGTGGTACTAAGCAAAGTATTTAGGTATGTGAGGAGGAGAGAAATGTTTACTATAAGAGATATTGTTCAAATATCAAGCAATTGGTGTTCTTAATATTAATTTTTTCGTTATATTCAATAGCTTGGCTATTTTGGAATTGAAAAGTAAGTTGTAACATTATCTATAAGGAAGAACTGTAGCTTTTTGTTGTATATAGAACTTTACTTTAGTCAGAGATTAAGATAAAAGATAGAATCTTAAAATATTTCATAATAATCATTGGTTTTCCCAGTGCTATTAAGCATATTATATCAACAATGAGAGTGAATGACCTTAGACCTAGGATCAACTTCAATATTCTGTGCCCATTCTAAGAAGCAAGACAAAAATCACAGAGGAAATTAAATATTTCCCAAACATCCTATTCACAAAGAGTCCAGTAAATCAATATCTAGAGGGAATAATACTGTTTTGCTGATTACTGCTCCTGTGGTAGCTTCTCCTTTTCATCACGCAAAATTAGTCTAGGAAGGAATAGTAGATAGAAAGGGAAAGGAGTAAGGGTGGGGTTTTGTGATAAATGCAGTAAGACATTGAAACTACTGTAAACTAGGCACTAGTGACTAGGGGATATGGGAAGAAGAAGGGAGAGAGGGCTGGGGAATTCTACTGTAAATTGCAAAGCGGAGAGTCCAGAGATGTAGTTTAGTTGGTAGAGGGCTTGCCTATCATGCAGGAAAACCCTAGTTCTAATCTCCAGCACAGCGTAAACTGGGAACGGGGATGCATATTTGTAATCCCCAAAGTCGGGAGGTGGAGGCAGGAGGATCAGAAGTTCAAGTTCATCCTTGGCTACACAGTACGTATGAGGTCAGCCTTGGACACTATCTCAAACAAAATAAAACAAAACAAACTAAATAAATTGGAAAGAGGCAGCTGACATTTAGTCAGAAGTCAAAAGGACAAAGTAGTTTGGAGGAGTGCTGCACTTGGCCAAGTGTGCAAGTACAATCTGATCAGCTCATCTGTTGTCCTGCACACACACGGTGCTGAAAAAGCATGTGTGATTGCAAAGGTAATCAGTTCTGCCAGGAGGATTTAGATTGGGAAAGCTGAGAAAAACAGGTTTTGTGTATTCACTGTCAGTGAACACATGAAGCGTGATGGCTTTGAAATGATAAGTTAGCTTTCAGGATAGTAAATTAGGGAGTGGATAGAGAGGAAAGCAGGTGGTATAAGGTTTTGTTTACCTAATGTGCTAAGGAGGTCATGAGGGCAAATTTGTCATCTAATAGATAGAGGCCTGAGGCACAAAGTCTCTGGTTTAATGGTCTGAGAGGGTTTCACAGTTTTAAAAGATAGCTTTGTTTATTTTGTTAAAGTATGCAATTCAGTGATGTTAGTCCATTTGCAGAATTGTGCAGTCATCACCACAAACTAATTTTAGAGTATATGCCCCATTTCAATACCTGCCCCCCATTCTCATTCTCAATCCTATGTAACTCTCAATCTGTGTTATGAGTTGGTATTTCTTTCTTTCTTTCTTTTTTTTATTTAATGCTGAATGCCATTTATTGAAGGAGGGAGGAGGTCTTAAATACAGGCTTACAGCACAATGGGAGAACCCCAGAGGGCAGAAGTTCGTTACAGATAACGCCCATTATGCAGGATACACAGACAAGGAACTTCCCTTAAACATTCAGGAGGGTGGAATTCGGCAGGGAATTAGCATAGGGAGGATATCAAGGTCAAGGTCAGCAAGCAAGACAATAGTTACCCAAAACAGTGGCCAGGACCCTACAGGTCCCCCTTTTACTAAAAAAGGAGACGCCTGACCAGGCCACACAGGCGCTCTGTCTTAGGTTGGTGAGCGGCCCCCCAGGCATTGAGTTGGTATTTCTTTAGTAGGGCTTTTCAAATATATTGTATTATAAAATATGTTGTCTATGACACCTTCTTTTGCTTAGTGTGTTTTTGAGGTTCATCATATTGTATCATTTATTAGGACTTCATTACTTTTAATGGATAAATAATATTTCATTGTTGTGGTATATTACATTTTGCTTATTCATTCACTTGGTGATGACATTTGGATTCATTTCATTTGTATATTGTGAAACTGCTGTTATGGACATTCATATGTCTCTGAAACATTTTAATTTTAATTTCCTTCTTTCCTTCCCTCCCTCCCTCCTTCCCTCCTCCCCTTTCTTTTGAGACAAGGTTTCTCTGTGTAACAGCCCTGGCTGTCCTGGAACTCACTTTGTAGACCAGGTTGACCTCGAACTCACAGAGATCCGCCTGCTGAGATTACAGGTGTAGGCCACCACCACCTGGTTTAATTTTTTCTTGAATAGGTATGTTTAAGTGGAATTCTGGGCCATATACTTAAGACTGTTGAACTTTGGAGCTGGAGAGATGGCTCAGAGGTTAAGAGCACATTAAGTTCTGACTTTGGTTCCCGACCCCCATTATTTGGGCAGTGCACAGCTGGTAATCCAGCTCCCACAGATCAGATGCCTTTAGCCTGCAGACATGCGCACACACACAGTTAATGATAAAAAAATTTTTTTTTACAAAGATTATGTTGAACTTAATAAAATTGTTGAAGTATTTTTCCAGAGTGGCTCTATCAGTTGACATTCTCATGAGTTATTATCTATCTTTTTATCATAGCTTATCTGTCTTTTAAATGATATATTTACAACAACTCAATGGCCAGCACCATTTATAAATATGAAAGAGGTATTTATTTATATTTTTGCTTACTGTTCCTTTTTTGTTTCTGCTATTCCAAGATACTTGACATTTTTGTTGTCTTTCCTATGTAGTCTTTGCTCCATGTTCTCGATTCTGGTCTTTTTTTTTTTTTTTTTTACCATGCTGGGGATGGAACCCAGGACCTCACACACACCGGGAGAAGTGCTCCAACTGTGCGACTCCTTCCCCAGCCCCTGTACTCATTCTTCGAGGCCATTGGCAGTAACTTATCTGACTTTTCTGCACCTGTGTCTTTGTACTGGGTGTATAAATTTGGACTGATGGTGGTTTCAGCATTTGAAAAAGGTTATGCCACTTGCTTCATGTGCCCACGTGTTTTAGAGAAAGAACAATCTCTTGGTTTGGAGTTGTCAAAGATATTTTGTTTATTTGCTGGATGCTTTTTTTTTTATTTTTTGGTTTTTTGAGACAGGGTTTCTCTGTGTAGCCCTGGGTGTCCTGGAACTCACTCTGTAGACCAGGCTGGCCTCGAACTCACAGAGCTCTGCCTCCTGAGTGCTGGGATTAAAGGCGTGCACCACCACCGCCCAGCTTGCTGGATGCTTTAAATATCTTTCTTTGTTGTTAACATATGAAAATTTAATTAGTATGTAGTTTGGTATGGATTTATTTGTCCTTCTATTTTGAGTCTCCTCCCCCTCTTCCTCCTCCTCCTCTTCTTTTTTTGAGACAAGGCCTATGTCTCTTGGCTGGCTTAGAACTCACTATGTAGACCAGGCTGGTCCCAAACTCACCGAGATCCGCCTGCTTCTGCCTCCCGAAGGTGTGTAGTATCGGTTTAATGAGTTGTTTTCAAGTAAAAAGTGAGTGTCCTCATGTTAGCTCATGAGAACCTGGATACCCTTTCAGCTTTCTCTTTTGACTGATGTCTGCTGGCTCTGCTCCCTTGATTTGATTGACACTCAGATTGAGGTACTTAGTACTACTGAATGAGGTGAGAAATTGGGCTTCTCATGTCATTTGCACCAGTCCTGAAGATAGAAGTGCCTTGCAGTTGATGAGTGAAAATGAGAAGTCCTGATGGTTTCTTTGGCCTTTCCCCACCATTATTTGCAGCTTCAGAAGTATGGGAGTCAAGCAACAAACTTGACCTTGCTGTGTAGATGAAGGTGGAACCGGAGTTCTTTTCTGTGGTGTTTACAGTTACTATGCAGGTAACCAACCATCTAAAGGTTTTTCCAGTTAGCTGTGCTGCTCCTTTTCTGGTCCTTTGGCTAGAAAGAACTGAGTTGGGGGTAAATTTATGTCTGTCCCAACTAGTATTACTACAGTTCTGGCTTCTTCATCCCCAAATCTGGGATAGATGAGGCAATAAGAAATCCCAGTGAGGAAGGGGGGATTCTGTTCCCCAGTGGTGTAGCCCCTGGTATGTTTTCCTTGCTTAAGTAAATAAGCCCCATCCATGTTCATGCAAGCAGCCCCAATTAAATAGAGTGGGTCACACATACACACACACACACACACACACACACACACACACACACACACACACACACACACAGAGAGAGAGAGAGAGAGAGAGAGAGAGAGAGAGAGAGAGAGAGAGAGAGAGAGAGAGAGATATGAAAGTAGAAGGGAGGTTTGTTAGGAAGAACAAGGGGTTCAGTGGTAACAACAGAGAGCAATGGGATGAATATGATCAATGTGATATGATCCTACTATGTAACCCGGACTAGCCTGGAACTCATTATGTAGACCAGTCTCTCCTTGAACTCACAAAGATCCACCTGCCTCTGCTTCCCAAGTGCTGGGATTAAAGGCATGCACAACCATGCCTGGCCAAAAATTATGTTTTCTTTTTAATTCCCTAAAATAGAAATCTGTGACTGATTTTTTTGAAATATAATATACATTTTATTCTAAAGCATACCATTTAATATTCTTTGGTATATTCACAAATGTTTCCAGAACATTATTATCACTCCATTAATGGCCATTCCCAGTTCACCTCTCTTTCCAGCCAGTAGCAACCAGTAATCTAAACTGTGTTCTGGTGGATTTGTGTATCCTGGACATTTCATAGAAACAGAATGACACAACATGCAATATTTATGTTGGGCTTGTTGGTTTTGTGTGACACAATTTTTTTCAAGATACATAAGTTTGCTAGTACTTTGTTCTTTGAATGGCTGAATAAAATTATGTTTATGAATAAATCATATTTTGTTTGCATCCATCAATTGGTGGTTATTAGGTTGCTTTTCCTTTTGCCTATTATGAATAGGAATAGGAACAATAGAAGTACTGGGAATAATGCTGCTTTTAGTATTCCATACAAGCACTTATGAACACATATTCCCAAGTTTCTTAGGGGTTACCCAGAGGACTGCATTTGCCAAGTGTCATGGAAAACCTATGCTTTACTCTCTAAGAAGCATCCAATCTTTTTCCATCTCATATCAACAGTTGCTGTTGTCTGTCTTACTCTGTTACATTACAGTCATTCTGTGTCTAGTCCTTGTTATACCTATGTATGGAGTAGCATTTCATCCTTCTTTTGATTTTTCATTTTCCTGTTGAATATCGACATGAGAGATCTTCCCTGCTTTTAAAAATTGTACTTATTTGTTTATTTGTGTGTGTGTGTGTGTGTGTGTGTGTGTGTGTGTGTGTAGACAAGGTCTCACTGTGTATCTTGGCTGACCTGAACTCACTGTGTAGATTAGGTTGGCTTCAAACTCACAGAGATCTGCCTGTCTTGGGGTTGGTTAATCCCAGTAACATCAGGTCACTGGCTCTGGGTGGCTCCTGGCAGTAGAGACCGAGCCTTGGCCCAAACTGCAGTTTACTGCTGCTGTGGTGGCGTTTGATCAGTTCGGTGATGGTGGCTGAAAGTACAAGGGTCAAAGTTTCCTGTCAATGTGTTTTCTATTGGCTTCAGTTTCAGTGATTTCTTTCTACTGCTGGCTTTAGGTTTAATTTCCTTACCTCTTCCAGGTTTTTATGGTGGATCCTTAATTTGCTCCCTTCAAATCTTTCTTTTGTTATATAGACATTTAATCCTATAATTATGTCTCCAGGATTTAGCTACAGTGCATAACTGATGTGCTGTACTTTTATTTTCAATTAGTTAAAACATTTTAATTTCTCTTGAGACTTCTGGGACCCATGGGTTTTTTAAAAGTATGCTATAGAGTTTCTAAATACTTCCAAATTACCGACTCTCTGTTTATGATTTAGATTATGTTTTAGGAGTATGAACATAGAGGTCACATAATTTCTGTTGTTTTCTCAAATTTTATTAAGATCTATTTTATAGCCCACATATGACACATCTTGGTAAGTGTTCTCTGTGCTTTCCATGCATTTGTGGTCCATAAATGTTAATTTTATTATGTTGATTAAGACTTCTATCTAGCTGAGCGGCGGAGGCACACACCTTTAATCCCAGCACTCGGGAGGCAGAGGCAGGTGGATCTCTGTGAGTTCGAGGCCAGCCTGGTCTACAGAGTGAGTTCCAGGACAGCCAGGGCTGTTATACAGAGAAACCCTGTCTTGAAAAACCAGAGAGAGAGAGAGAGAGAGAGAGAGAGAGAGAGAGAGAGAGAGAGAGAGAGAGAGAGAGAGAGATCTACTTTAGATTTTGCTGACTTTTTGCCTAATCTTTCAGTTATAGACAGGAATGTGTTCTCTCTAGACTACACAACTGACTTTGTTTTCTTTTCATCTCTAGCAGGTTTTGCTCATGTACTTGCATGCTGTCTTTTTAGGTGCCTATGTCTTTAGCATTATTATATCTTTGGAGAATTGATTCCTTTTATTTTTATTTTGTGTGGTCCTGAGGATGAAACCCAGGGCCTTATTCATGCTGGTCAAGTGCTCTGTTACTGCTCCACACCTCCTGCTCTAGTTTGCTTTCTATTGCTGTGATGAGACACTGACCAAAACCAACTTGGGGAGGACAAGGTTTATTTTGCTTGTAGGTAACAGTTTAGCATCAACAGAAGCCAGGGCAGGAACCTGGAGGCAGGAACTTAAACAGAGACCATGGAAGAATGCTGCTTGGTGGCCAGCCTCTTCTGGCTTGATCACCTATCTTTCTTATATAGCTCACCTGCCCGAGGTTGATACTTCCCAAAGTGCCCTGAGCCCTCCTATACAAATTAGCAATTAAGGAAGTGCTTCACGTGGCCAGTGGGATAGCTCAGTGGGGGAAGGGTCTTTGCTGCCAAGTCTGAGTGCCTGGATTTGGTCCCTGGGTCCCACATGGTGGAAAGAGAATTGAATCCCTCTGATCGCCACACACACACACACACACACACACACACACACACACACACACACACACACACAATGTAGTAATAATAAAAGAAGAATGACGAATGGCTACAGGCCAATCTGATATGGGCAATTCTTCAGCTGAGGTTCCCTTTCCCAGGTAATTCTAGATTTGTGTCAAGTTGACAGCTGAAGCTAATTCTGACACCTCCCAACCACTTGGGAAGCTGAGCCAGAAAGACTGACACGAATTTGTGGTCCGCTAGAGATGTATGGCAGTAGCCTGTGTCAAAAGCATCAAATTATATATTTATGTGCTTATATATATATATAAGAATAATAAAGAAAAAGAGGCCATGGATTTGAGAGGAAGACATATGAGAAGAGTTGGAAGGAGGAGGAAAATGATATAATTGTAGTTTAATTTTAAAAAATTACAAAAAGCCGGGCGGTGGTGGCGCACGCCTTTAATCCCAACACTTGGGAGGCAGAGGCAGGTGGATCTCTGAGTTCTAGGCCAGCCTGGGCTACAGAGTGAGTTCCAGGACAGGCTCCAAAGCTACAGAGAAACCCTGTCTCGAAAAACCAAAACCAAAATAAATAAATAAATAAATTAAATTAAAAATTACAAAAAACAAAATAAAAAAGCCATATATATTTTGAGGCAAAAAATCTCCATAAAATAAAAAAGGGAATATTTATATAGTTGTGTACAAATAACCTTTGTCAATATTTCAATTTATTGCATTTAACCTTCCTTTCTCTCTCCTCTTCCCTTTATTTGTTTTTTAAAAATATATTTAAAATTATGTGTATGTATGCGTGTCTGTGTGTGAGCATGCACACACGAGTATAGGTGCATGGTGAAGTCAGAAGACAAAGTTAGATCCCTAGAACTGGGGCATAGGCAGTTGTGTGCCACTCAACATGGGTGCTGGGAACTGAACTCAGGTCTTCTGCAAGAGTAGTATGCACTCTTAACCACTGAACCACCCTTCCAGCCACAATTGATATGGTTTTACTTGAACTTACTTTAAGATTGCATACTATTTCCTCTCATGTAGTATCATTTATAGTTTATTTTGCTGTTGTTGGCTTTTTAGTGATTGCTTTGGGGCTTATGATATCCATTTAAAACAATTGAACTTTGCTTTCATATAGCACTAAGTTGCTTCACATATAGTGAAAATTTAACAGAATATACTCAGTTTCCATAGTAAGCCAGTACTGTCATTATTTCCAGCAGTTATATTTTAGGAAAATTAACAATAAGGAAAATAAATAAATAAATCTAGGTATGGTGCACATGCCAATCATCCAAGTACCAAGGAGGCTGAGGCAGAAAGATTGTGATTTTGAGGCCTGTCTGAGCTACATAATGAGATCTCATCTCAAACTGGACGAATGAACAAAATAGGCATCACCTTTAATCCCAGCACTGGAGAGGCAGAGGCAGGCAGGTGTCTGTCAGTTCAAGGCTAGTCCTGGTCTATGTAGCAAGTTCTGGGCCAGTCAGGAACAGTGAGACCTTGCCTCAAAAAAAAAAAAAAAAAAAAAAACCACAAAAGTGTGATGTATTTCATCCTTTTTTATCCCCTCCTGCACTGAATTTTCCTGATCCACGTGATCAACTTCCTTTCTGATCTCACAGGACAGAACTAACTTCCAGCTGTGGGTTACCTCAGAAGTTCTTTGTTCAGGAAAGTCTTGATCCCTATTTCACTTTGAGAAGATGATTTTGTTTTTTAGACATAGGATTGCAGGTTTGTAGACTTTCCTCTTAACCATTTGAAAAAGTAGCTTTGTGGTCTTCTCCTCACATGGTTTGTGAGGAGAAATCTGCTGTTGTGTGTGTCATTTGCTCTTCAGATTCTTTTTTTTTTAATGCAGGGAGAGTTTTCTTCTTTAAAAAAAATTTTTATTATGTACACAGTGT